TGAGCAGGAAAACGCCATGTGGATTGTTCTGTTCATTGGTCCCAGGCCCTATCTAGGGTTGCAGTGTTCCCATTAGCTACAAGAGCCAGGAAGTTTGGCAGAGAAGTTTTGCAGGCCTGGCTGGATTTACAGCATACACCCAGACAACCCGGTGATGCGTCACCCATGGCAAGAGAGTTGCTCTGTCTGGTGCCAGGCCTGTGTCAGAGCAGAGCCTGCAGGACACTATGCTCTGCTCAGGAGTCTGTGCTTGGAACCATTTGCATGTACAGTAGCACAGGGAGTCTGAACAGGTGGTATTGGGAGTTTTGAACATGGGACATGTGCCAATGCCTTTGGAATCCTTGCAGTTCAGCAAACCCCAGCTTGGGTGAGGCACAAGGCTCCACTTTTAGCATGTTTCAGAGAAAGTCAGGGTTCCCAGGGAATGTGGGTCCTCAGTCAGAGCTGATAGGACCTGCTCTTACCCACATCCCTTTCCTGTCCTCTGCAGACTGTGTATGCCAAGGACTGTCCTCTCGCAGCAGCCAAAGCTATCCAAGGACTGCGGGCAGTTTTTGACGAGACCTACCCCGATCCTGTCCGTGTGGTCTCGATTGGCATCCCTGTGGAGGAGCTGCTGGCTGACCCCTCTGGCCCTGGGGGCTCCATCACCTCAATTGAGTTCTGTGGAGGCACGTGAGTATCTGGAGAGGCCGGGGAAGGCTGATAAGGAGTCCCTGTGGAGCCTGGTCTCTGCTGGGAGTGCTGTGGGTACATGCAGGGCACAGCCAGGGCAGGGCTGGAGGTGGTGGTGATGTGCCTTTGCATTCCCACTCCTCAGTCAATCCATTTTTAAAATCAGCCTTTACCTGCCTGTATTGCCCTGCCTACAGGCAGGGTCTCTGGCAGTGCTGGGAGCACAGCCCTTGCCACCCTTTCCTCGCTCATTTGCTTTTAGCAGCTTGGTTGGGTTTTCTGCCTGTCCCCACACTTGCTGCATCTCCCTGACACAGTGGTGGTCTTGTTTCTGTCCTGATTCCTGCTGAGATGAGAGGTGGACTTCTAACTCTCTCCTGTGGGTCTGTCTGGGTTCTTTCCAAAGGCACTTGCAGAACTCCAGCCACGCTGGCCCCTTTGTGATTGTTTCAGAAGAAGCCATTGCTAAAGGCATTCGGAGGATAGTTGCAGTCACCGGGGCTGAAGCTCGGAAGGTAAGGGGAGGCAGGAGAGATCCTCTGAAATTCCACATACTAACCCTATGCCAGAGTTCCTTTTGTTTGAATTTGCACAATATCCCTGTCAGCACCAGGGAGCATTGTCTGAGGGACTCAGGGAAAAGGGTACTGTTGTTGGCAGAGGCTGGGCTGGAGGCCCCTGCTGTGCTACAGTCAGAGAGAGCAGGGAAGAAGGGGAGAAGTCTCGGCTGTAGGTGTTGTATCAGTGTGGCAGGCTCTGGGAACAGAAGAATAGGTTGCTTAGCAGAGTGGGCTGCAGATGTAGAGCTCTCAGCAGCTGGCAAGGCTGGCAGGAGAGTGGTGAAGTCTGAGAACCCAGTCCTCTGCTGCTGGGCTAGCAGATCCTGGGCTTGCTTGGGCTGGTGCTTCCTAGAGTGGGAGAAAAGGGTTTATAGGGGAGATAATTTCCATTTTTGAGGATCTTTCTTTTGCTTCTGGCAAAGAAAGAGTCCTGGGGCCTGTCTGCCAACATCACACCCTGCTTCTGGTCAAGTGCTGCCTGCTTTGGCTCTGTGTCTTCTGGAGGAGTTACTCAGCTCCATCTTGGGGCATGCCATCATTCCTCACCCCTTCTCACCCTGGAGTCGTCAAGAGCCCAGCCTGCTCGATCTTCCTGCCTGATTTAACCTGGATTGTTTTCTGCTAGGCCCTCAGGAAAGTGGAGAGCCTCAGGAAACTGCTGTCAGCCCTGGAGGCCAAGGTGAAGGTCCAGACAGCTCCCAACAAGGATGTGCAGAAGGAGATCGCGGATCTCGGTGAGGTGAGGATGGTAGCAGTGCTCTGCCTCCCCAGTGTGAATGGGATCTTGATTGCCAGTACTGGGTTGCATTAATGAGGCCCATATTCACCTTCCTGCTCCTGTCTGACAGCCCTGCATCCCATGGGTGCTACAACCAGCACCTCCTGTCTGGGTTGTTGGCACTGGGAGAGGAGCAGGGCTTAGGGGGCTCTGCCAGTTGAGGCACTGAGGTTCATGAGGTGCAGCATCTCCTGGCTGTGGTCGCTGGTACCTTCAACCCTCTGCACCTGTTCTTTTGCAGACTCTGGCCACTGCTGTTATCCCACAGTGGCAGAAAGATGAGCTGAGAGAGGCTGTTAAAGCACTGAAGAAAGTTATGGATGACCTGGACCGTGCAAGTAAAGCCGACATCCAGAAACGGGTGAGCCCTGGGCTGGAATAAAGGATAGCGTGGGAGGGCTGCAGGGCTCTCCCTTGGGAGCTCTGCTTGTGTCCCTTGTGGAAGGGAGCTGAGCTGTGGGGACACCCCTCACATTGCTCAGCCTTCCAGCCTCTCCTGCTCCCTCCCAGAGCACGGCTACCTCCCTGCCTGCTCCCTGGGTTGAAGCGTGGCATGTGTCTTAGATCTAGGGGTGCCCCTGGGTGCAGGCTTCTTCCTCCTGGATCCCACTGGAGTTTTCTGGAGGAAGATTTAAAAGACAACACTGCTGCTGCCTTGCAGGCCACGCACCCACCTGCCAAAATATTTTGGTCCTGACTCCACAGTGTGAGGCTGGTCCAGGCTGGGCTGTGGGTGTGTTTGGGCACCTTGGGGGCCTCTGTACCTGCAGGGGAAGCTCTACCTGTGTGGTTCTTGTGTCCATACACACTATGGGTGCTCTAGTGTCTGACCACTGTTGTCCTCAGGTGCTGGAGAAGACCAAGCAAGTCATTGAGAGTCACCCTAATCAGCCATGGGTCATCATGGAAATGGAAAATGGAGCCTCAGCAAAGGTATGGGAAGGCCTGGTTTCTCCTCAACAACCTTCCTTGTGCCTGAGGAACAGCTGGGTCGTCTCTGCTCACTCAGGGAGGCAGTGCAGTGCTGCAGAGCTGTCTTTCTTCACACCTGCCATACCTGAGGAGGGGAAGGGAATGCTGGGGCATTCTCTTCATCCCACCTCCTGTGCTAACAAATGAGTTTGCAGGGGTGGGTGGGGTCTTGACCACTTGTTGAGCTTCCAGACCTGTTGGTGGATAGGAACCCCAACAGAAGTGCCATTGTATCCCTCAGCAGTCCCAACACTGAAATGCAGGCTTGAGGGACTCAGAACTGCAGCTCCTCCAAGCAGTGGAAGTCATGATGTTTGTGGCCCCTGCAGATCAGCTGTCCTGGGCTGTGTGTGTGGACAGGGCCGGGCAGAGAGCTGCCCCCCAGCTCCTGGGCACTGTCAGCCACAGCCAGGGCTGAGTCTGTTCCTTCCCTCCTCCACACACAAGCTTCTTTCCAGGGGGTTTCTGCTGGAATAACAGCTCCCTCGTGTGCACTGTACCGCAGTGCTGAGCCCAGCAAGTGCCAGGCAGCGGGGACTGATCGTGCCTGGGGTTGGACCGCTCTGGTTTTAATGCCCTGTTGAAATTTCCGCTCCAGGAGTCTTGGAGCTGATCCTGCTCTCTCTCTGTGGCCCTCCGCGTCATTGTGATGCCCACGCTCGCAGTGGGTGCCATGGCAGTGTTCTCCCTGGCAGAAGGGTGCATCCCAGGGGATGGCAGTGCTGGCAGCCTGGGGAGCTGCATGTTCCCAATCCACCCAGAGCAGCGCTGCTTTGCTTGCCAGAGGACCTGCTCTGTGCTATATCGTGCTCTGTGTGAACAAGGGATGCTGCTCTCCTTGGGAATAGCAGGAGACATGGCAGTCTCCCTGTTTCTTCCCATGTGCCTGCTCTGTCTGTTAACCCTTTCATCCTCTTCATGCTGTTTTTTGAGTTCTCCTGAGTCGCTTTGGAACAGCTGCTCCCTCCTGCTGGGGGGAGCTTTCTCCCCTGCAGCCAGTACACTTGGGAAAGGTTCACTCTGGGGCAAGTTCTGCCAGTTCCTGGATAACCAAAGGTGGAGAAATAAAGGCAGTTTCTCCTTCCTGCCTCAGGGGACACAGCCAGGGCTTGTGTCACCTGCCAAGGCTTCTACACTGTGAGGGATGTGAAGATGGCTTGTGTTGGGGAGGAGGAGCACAGCAAGGTGCTGCTGGCTGGTTTTGTGCAAGTCCAGATCCCTGAGTTCTCCGTGGGTGTCATGGGGGCTGGAGGTGAGCTGGGTGTGAGTGCAGGGAAGATGTGCTGCAGTGATTTTTTTCTCTTACAGGCCCTGAATGAATCTCTGAAGCTCTTCAAGACTAACTCCCCCCAGACTGCTGCCATGCTCTTCGCTGTGGATAACGAAGCTGGCAGGATCACCTGCCTGTGTCAGGTACCCCAGGTAATGCTGAGACTGCCTTTCCCTGAGCCTTTCTGGAGGTGCAGCCTCTAGGCAGGAACTATCTAACACTCCACGGCCAGCATTGATCTGGGTTTGGCCAGAGCCACAACCTTCATGCTCTGGCTTATCACCAGGCTGCAGAAGTGTGAGGAAAGGGTTGTGCTGTGCAAATGGGGAAGAAGAGTCAGAGCTTAACAGGGTGGGAGGCATGGGGCAGGGAGACATCTGCTCTTCCCTCAGTGCTGACCAGTGGTTCTTTTTTCTCTTTCCCTGCCCAGGAGACTGCAAATAAGGGCCTGAAGGCCAGCCAGTGGGTGCAGGAGGTGTCTGGCTTGATGGACGGCAAAGGCGGTGGGAAGGACATCTCTGCACAGGCAACGGGCAAGAACGTGGGCTGCCTGCAGGAAGCCTTGAAACTGGCCACGGACTTTGCTAGGCTCCGGCTGGGGGAGCTGAAGAACTGACCGAAGCGGGGGTCCCCGGCCCCCTTTTCCTCCTGTCTGTCCCCTGCGCGGTTTTCCTGTCAATAAAGGTTCCCTGCCCTGCTCGCTGCGACCCTGCTCTGCTGGGGGAGCGAGATGGGAGGATGGGATGGGATGGGATGGGATCCTCCTCCTGCGCGTCACAGCCCGTGCCGGTCGCCGCCTCCTCCCTGTCCCCGCCCCGTGCCCGCCCTTCGCCGCCGACCATGCCGCTGGATCACCGCCGCCTGTGCGGCCCGGAGGAGTCGCAGCCGCCCGCTCTGTGGGCAGCGCTCGCGGCCGAGGATGAGGACGAGGAGGGCGCGGGGGCCGCGCCGCGGGACCCCTGCTCCCTGCGGCCGCTGTTCGCGCGGGCCGGGCTGCTGAGCCAGGCCCAGGGCTCGGCCTACGTGGAGCTGGGCAGCGGCACCAAGGTGCTCTGCGCCGCCTGGGGCCCGCGGGAGGCGGCCGAGCCCGGCCCGGGCCGGCTGCTGTGCGAGTTCCGCCGGGCGCCCTTCGCGGGCCGCGGGGCGCGGGGCCGGCCGGGCGGGCTGGCGGAGCGGGAGGCGGAGCGGGAGGCGGCGGCGGCGCTGCGGGAGGCGCTGGAGCCGGCGGTGCGGCTGGGCCGGTACCCGCGGGCCCGCCTGGCGGTCAGCGCGCTGCTGCTGCAGGACGGGGGCTCCGCGCTGGCCGCCGCCGTCAGCGCCGCCGCCCTGGCGCTGGCGGACGCCGGCGTGGAGATGTTCGACCTGGCCGTGGGCTGCGCGCTCTGCCGCCCGCCCGCCGCCACCTCCACCACCGCCGCCGCCTGGATGCTGCAGCCCGCGGAGCCCGAGGAGCGCCGCGCCGCCGCCCGCCTCACGCTCGCCCTGCTGCCCGCCCTCAACCAGGTGTCGGCCGTGCTGGGCGGCGGCCAGGGCGGCCCCCCCGAGGACTGGGCACAGGCCCTGCGGCTCGGCCTCGACGGCTGCCACCGGCAGTACCCGGTGCTGCGGCAGAGCCTCCTGCGGGCCGCCCAGCGCCGCGATGCTGCTGCTGCTGCTGCTGCCGCTGCCTCCGTGGCCTGAGCGCCCGTGAGACACGGGTGCCCCGGTCTGAGCACGGGATCGTCACCCAGAGCGCGTCCAAGCTGCCTTCAGGTGCTGCCGGAGACCCCTGGAGCCTGCCTGATCCGCGCCTCGCTGTTGGGGATTGAAATAAGTTTACTTTCAGAACATTAGGAGTTTATTAAGTTTAATTATAACTACTGGAGACCACCACGGACCCAGCCTGTTCCACACCTCATGCTGCCAGAGACCCTGGACCCAGCCTGTTCCATGCCTCGTGCTGCTGGAGACCCTCCTGAGCCAGCCCTTGTGCTGCCAAAGATCCCGCAGTGCTGCTCACACAGCTGAAGGCCCAAGAACTCTGATGAAGGACACTGGATCTACACCCCCCACACCACTGGAGAGCCCCCAAAAGCGTATCTGAGGAGTCACCGCGTGGCAGAACGTTCCTAACTGGCATTGCAGGGCCCAAACAGCCTGGCGTGCTGCTGGATCCCTCCAAGTGCTGCTGGCACTGCAGGGACCCCATGTCTCACCCTGGGGTGGTCCTGGCACCAGGCTGAGACCCTCACGCTGAGCTCCCCACCACAAGCATCCATGCAGGCAGGGTCCAGTCACCCCTGGGCAGGGACCACACCGTGGCATGGACTGCATGTCCCTTGGGCCTCCTGCCCAGGCAGTGCTTCAGGGCAGCAGAGTTGTGTTTTGTTGGGGTTTTTTCATAGTAATAAATCGTTTATTTTCTGGTGAGTCTTCTGCCTGCACGGCTCTGCTGGGGCCTCTGCTAGCCAAGGGCAGAGGTGGAAGGATACACTTCCATGATTGGGGTCACCCCCTGCTTCTTCTCCCTCTGTCCTTCCTTGAGGGGTGCAGGGAGACCTGGGTACTGCCTTGGGGTCTGGTTATTCCTGGGGATGGAGCACAGCAGCCAGTCCTGTCTGCCCAGCTGCACCGTGGTGGGCTGGTAGGGAATATTCTGGGTATTTTCCAGTGGGAAACAGGGCAGAGCTGCAGGAAAGGCAGCATCAGGGAAAGCCAGGGACTGTGTCTGGCAGCACACGGAATTGGGTACAAAAATTAAATGAGCACTTCAGACAGTTAGAAACTGCACCAGAGTTAAATAACCAGAGTAAAGAAATACAAATTATTTTTCTTTCCAACACGGTACACTCTTTTACCAGAGCAAATTAGAAATACAGAACAAGTTCCTACCAGTGAGAGAAGGACAACCAAGAAATGAGGGACACGGAATTTGACGCTGGGGGGTACGGGGGGACCAGGACTCCTCGGGTGCAGGTGAGGGGCCCTGGTAAAGCTCTCACAGGAGTCCTGCTGACTGCAAATGTGATGCCTGGACAAGAACAGCCCGTGGAAAACCAGTAAGGAAAACACATTTGGGAGCAGGGGCGAATGGGAGCGATCGGGTTGGCATTGCCCCGCTGCTGGTTGTGCAGCTCGCATCAGAGCTAGGTGTGGCACCATCCCCAAATCCTGCAAAAACCTCATGGAGATGGCTTAGGGTGGTTCCTCCTTCCTATGGTGGCTCAGAAAGCTGCCACGGGCTGTGCCTGTGCCTGCTGCACCAATTCCCAGCGGGGTCTGATGGTTGGGATGTGACCTGTGCCATAGGGATGGGAGCCCCGGGCTGCTTTCCCTGTGCCCCACAGCACCCTCTGGGTGAGGCGGTGCTGGCACCAAGCCAGGTGGGATTTGGGTTGCTCCTCTGGGACATGGTCCTTTTTATTTGTTTGTTTTCACTCCTGCCCTCCCTCACCTGGCTACCTCTGCTTAACCCTAGGTCTGACAACAGGAGGAAAAAGAAAACAAGCGCACTGGAACACAAAAAATTCTCTCACCCCAGCCTGCCAGCAACTCCCGGGGTGGGACACGGGGCTGCCGGCGGCAGGGGATGGCTGTGCCAGGAGCGGGCACCTCGTGTTGTGCGTGGCTGGAAACCTCAAAAGAAATAATCAACACAAGCTGGGAAGGACTGGCCACACGGGAGGGCCACAGCGTCCCAGTCCGGCTACTGGCTCCTCTCGGGATCTGACATGTGGGTTTTCACCTGTGAGGAGAAACACATGGCATGGTTGTCCTTTGTGCTGTCAGCAGGGTAAAATCCAGTGCCCTGCCCAGCACGGGGATCCCCGGGGTCCCACAGCCAGCTGGGGTATGTGGGTGGGGGAGCAGCACCTTTGATAAAAGGTATTTCTGCTCTGAGGGTCTTTTGTGCAGCCTCAGTGCAGCCTTGATTCACGCCCAGGGGTTTGCTGCAGAGTGCCCAGAGGCACCGGCAGTTTTAGCCCTGGCACCCAGCTGGAATGGCTTGGGCAACCCTGGTGGAGCCTCTCATCTACTCCAGGCATCCCCCACCAGCAAGCAGGGGTGGGTTTTAGGGAAGCAGAGAGCCCAGCACAGGATCTGGCCCTCCTCTTACCGTCTCCTCCGTGTCTGTGCTCTCCTCGGCGCTGTCGATGTTGCGCAGGTCACTGTGCCCGTCAGCTCCCGTCCCCTCCTTCCCCCGTGACTCCCGTGACCCCTCTCCTGCTGGGGATGGGGACTCTGTCCCTGGCTCTGCCCTCTTCCTCTCACTCTCCTTGGACCCTGCAAAGGCAGAGACAACAGAAATCTGGGGTACCTGTGCAAACATCAGCCCTGTCCTCACTGCTTTCCCTTGTGCCAAAGGGCTGGTTTTTTACTTCCCCAGCCCAGGGAAGGGGAAGGATGTAGGAAACCTGCCCAGCCAGCTCTGGAATGACCTGGCCACACAGGGAGGGACCCCTTACAGCCAGCTCAGGGTCCAGGCTCGCGTGTGCCCTCAGGTTGCCCAGCACGGACACATGAGTGTTGGAGGGTCTGGGCCCGTCCCCTCACCCGTGAGACGCTCTCTCCTCTGGTCCATGCGGTCCAGGCTCTCCAGCAGACTGTCCACCTGTGCCTTGATCTGGCTCAGCTCCCCCTTGATGGAGTGCAGCTCTTCGGCTCGCACTGCAGGGAGAGGAGTCGTGAGGAGCCCACCCAGAGCAAGGAGGACACCTCTGGAGCATCCCACTCTCTGGAGCATTCCCCCCTCTGCAGCATTCTCCTCTATGAAATATACTCCTCACCAGACATCCTTGGGGAACAGGAACGGACCCAGGGGACAGTCACCAGCCCAGTGCAGCCCAGGCTGTGTCTGCTGGAGCTGGGGACTCACAGCAGCAGGGTCAGCACTCACCGAGACGTGAGGGCTGAGCCTCTTCTTTCTCCCAGCTCTGTCACACTTACACTTTGTCCGTCCCCCCGTGGAGCTGGTGCTGCTCCTCGTCCCGGGCTGGGGACTCAGGCTGCTCTTTCCTCCTGCTCCCAGGTGAGTCCGTCTGGTCTTGACTGGGATGCGGTTAATGAGGGGCGGGATCTTCTGGTACTCGTAGACCCTGCAAGGGCACAAGAGCACAGAGGCACGAGCACAACCTTAGGGGGTGCAGCAGTGCCCCTTGCCAGCCAAGAGAGCAGCTCTGTGGGTCTCTGTGTGGTGAAAGGACCCCCAGTGTGGGCACTGCCCTGCCCACATGCCCCATGTGCCCACTCTCCAGGCCCCCAGCCTGCAGAAGCTGCAGCTCCTCAAAGTGGGGAAACACCACAGAGCCTCTCTTGGAGGCAGGGGACAGATGCCCAGGGACACACCCTGCTTTTCCACGATCAGAGATCCAATCACACACCCCAAACCCACACGTGCTCAGCTCATCCCGCTCCTGGAACACCCCACACTCACCGGTACGGGAAGTCATCCCTGTAGCGATCGTAGTCCAGGTCACAGTTACTGCTGCAGGAGGGGGAGAGAGGAGAACACGTCACCTGCTCCGTGGGTCACTGTGGAGCAATCACTGCGGGCACAGGAGGGCAGAGACACCCACCCAGCCTCCAACCCCCCCCCAAGCAGGAGACATCCCGGAGGATCCCTGTGCAAGCTGCCTGGGCTGCAGCATGCCCTGGGAGGTGGCTGTGCCCTGGCAGGAATCTTTCTCGCGGGAAATAAGGGTGTTGGGAGGGATGGTGAGAGCCCCCTGGGCAGCATCAGCAGGGTCTGGCCTCAGGAGGCTGCCTTTAGAGTGCCCTGGCTGCTAAACCCCACAGTCCCTGACTCCACGTGTGTGCTGCCCTGCTGCCACCCTGCCTTCTTCAGAAGTCACCTGCACAGGGCACAGCCCACAGGCACCAGCCCTCCTGGTAAGGGCACACTGGGGGCACTGGTGACCCGCCTGCTCCTGTGCTTTGCACGTGAGGCGCAATCCTTGGGGTCTATTCTGGGAGCTTTTGGTCCAGATTTGCTGCCTTCCAAGTTTCTGTTGCTGTGACAGGGATGGAGTGTCCTTTGCATCCCCAACTCCTGCCTGTCACCAGGGGAGGAAGGTCACAGCCTGTCCTGGGAAAGCAGGGAAGGGGCAGACAGAGAGGTGTCCCAACCCACACGTGGGGCACAGGGAAGGTTCCCGCCCCGGTGGCTGCTGCTGCTGCACGGAGCCCACACTGAAAGGGGTGGGGATGCCACAGGACACCCTGTGCCGTGGGAGAACTGATGGCGCTGCAGGACACCTGGTCTTGGGATCTAGGGCAGCTAGGGACACAGCAAGGGGTTTCCTGGCTCAGCTCTTGGCTCAGAGAATCCCCTGGGAAGAGCAAAGGCAGTGGCTGCCACGCTCCAGCGCCCAAGGGGGCCAAGCAGTCCCGGCCCTCCAGTGCTGCCTCCCTTCAGCTCCATGGCAACAGGCAGAGCAATTAGTTCAATCAGGGCGTTTGCAAAAGAGCTCTTACGAGGCAGAGGAACCCGGCTCTGATCCTCCCATCACCACAAGTCCACTGAGGGGGGGAGACAAAAGTGTGCAGGGATAGGGACCTGCTCTTCTACTATCATCAGTACCATCACCATCACCTACTGCCATCCTCAGGGCCATCATCACCCCTATGGGCTCCTGCAGGGGTGTCTGTCCCTGAGGAACAGCATTTAAATGCCACAATTGCAACAGACTGAGGGAATCGTGGAATCCTGGAATGGTTTGGGTTGGAGGAGTCCTTAAAGCTCATCTCATTCCAAACCCCACTGCAACAGGCAGGGACACCTTCCACTAGACCAGGAAGCCACATCCAACCTGGTCTTACACACTTCCAGGGATGCCACTTCCAGGGCAGCCTGTGCCAGGGCCTCACCAGCAGGAGGGATTCCTTCTTATGTCCAGCCTAAACCTGCCCTCTGTCAGTGTGAAGCCATTCCTGAAGGAGAGCAACACCTGTAACAGGCGTGGAGATCACAGGGCTCTGCTCTTCTCTCACTGCCTTCGTGTGGGGAGGGGGGATCCCCACACCCCACTGGTGACACACAGCAGGAGGGGCCCAGCAAGGACTCCAGCCAGCACCTGTGTGGCCAAGAGCCCTACTGGGATGGGGCAGGGACATCCCTCAGACTTAACACCTGCCAGCTGGAATAGTCAGGGGTGTGAGTGATGGGGAGCAGGGGGGAAGGGGAGCCAGGTGTGGGACAGTCCCCAGCACCCCAGCCCACACACGAGCACTCACTGGTACAGGCTGCTGCTGTGCTGCCTCTTCTGGCCCAGCCTGGCCCGGCTCGGCTTGGGCTCCCTGGCCATGTCCAGATCTGTGGGGAGAGAGAGGAGGAGCATGAACCCACACAGAATCCTCTCTGGCACCGGCTTCCTTTGGTCCCAGCCACACTCCTCTCACAGTTGGAGATGTCGCACTTCAGAAAATCTGCA